ACAAGAACAAGAAGAACAAGAACAAGAACAAGAACAAGAACAAGAACAAGAAGAACAAGAAGAACAAGAAGAACAAGAAGAACAAGAAGAACAAGAGTTCGTCCGTCAGTCTTACGATGACCAATGCATCCGCAGAGGAGAATAGTATTAATGTTTTAAACAAATTTGAAACATTTTAATTAAGATGACTTACAGCTTCTGCTATTGTCAATGAGAGCACTTCTTGCAAAGGAAAGTGTGCCACAATTTGTACATTTACAACTTTTTTTCTACTTGAGGATATGTGCAGCTCGGCCTTTCGCTCGCGATGCCTCATATCATGACTTGCTGTCCGTCATGATTGTTACTCTCCAACTGGTCTGTCAGGAGCTAGGCTCTCCCCTGCGGAAGGATTTATGTCGAAATCCTTCAGACACAATTTCAATGTGTCATTGAAGCGTGTGTTTTTTGTGTGTTGGGTTGTTTTTTTTCGTTCGCCAACTTATAGTGAGTCCAGAGTTCTCAAGTATTTATTTGAAAAGAAATCTTTTAAGAGTTCCTAGAAAAGGAGGTAAAAAAAAATAGCTGAAAGACCGTTTGCCCACCTTGCTCCACCAGTTTGGAACTCTCTTCCCCAACCCTTGAGACGTACAATATCTGAGTCTAAATTTAAAATGTCTTTAAAGACACATTTAATTATATCATTTTCATATCAATCGAGAAATGGTGAAGTACCCAAATGAGATAGATCATAATAGATGCTGTGTAAGTTCTTATAGAATTTACGAGTGCTGTTTGTATCCTCCCAATGCTCAGTCTCTCAAACCCTATGCTCAAACAAATTATTGTTTCATTCGCCTAAATTTCTTATGAAGGTGTCTCTCGCAAACTTCACATCTTTTCCCGTTGACTGGGATTTTTGGAATACTAGCGATCGGTTATATCAGCTTTCTTTTTTCTTGAATGAAATTCTAAATCTCATTATTCTCTTCAAACCGATCCTGGAGATTACGATTGGGAAAGCCGATTGTTTCAGAGGCTGTTAATTCTTTCCTTCAAACGACTTAATTGGTAAAAACATATAGTCTGGTCTTGTATAACAAAGTAGTTTATTTATTTTGGAAATTTAGAAAATAAAGCCATAAATTAAAATTGTATATCCTCGTAAATAATATTTCAACGATAATGGCGAATAAGCGATGTACGAGAAAAACGAAGAGGTGATTTTTTGATAAAATCAAATGGCCTGGGAAAGAACCTCTTTCATCCAACTTACTCAACAGTTTCATTTTTCGTTTAGGCAGAGACAAGGCACTGGCGTAAAGCGCGTTCAACATGTCGGTCGACATAAGACTAGCGAGTTCGCGTGGGAAAGGGGCAGACTTGTACCATGGGGAGGACCCAGGAAACATTGTCACGCCTGGAGATGTTATCACAGCGGACACAGGGTTTATGAGGTAAGACAGCGACGACAGGGAACAAAAAGATTATAATCCAAAAGTTTCATATTGTCTGCTAGATTTATAAACGTACTGTGCTGTGTGTGTGGACGGCAAGCAGCGAGTCTCAGTCTTGCCTGAAGTCATGTCGTTTCCGCATGAAATTTTAAATGTTTGATATGTAACATCATTTAGGCCTAGATTTCTAGATACTTCGACGTTAACAATGATATGGGCTTAAGGCTTCAATTTTCTTGCCTTTTAATCATTTCATTAAGTTTGCTTGGTGAGTGCTGAGGCTGAGGGAATGGACAATTATATCACTAGTAGATCTAGATCTAGATATAGATCTAGATCTAGAGTCTTATCAGAGAGGGTTTACCTAAGGGAGTGTTTATACAGACCCGGTAACCGGGAACAAAGTCACAAAGTATACAGACCCGGTAGGGGAACTCTTTTGTGATTCCGGAAAGTTTCAGCACCCTCTTGGCTCAGGGTAGACCTAGATCTGGACTCTAGGTTCTTCTAGACATCTAGATCTATGGCTTAGGTCTAGATCTAGACAGACAGACATATATTCATTGACCTGGTTTCGAGGCTAGTCTAGATCTAGAATCTAGATCTAAATGAAGATTGCGGATGTCTTTTCAATGAACGATCGCTTTCCTCCGTTTTGGAGTTGGAGGAATCACAATTTGAAGAAAAGAACTCTATGTCATAATTTCAATCGAGCAGTCACCCTCTCTATTTCTCTGCCTCTCTCTCTGCTCTCTCTCTCTCTCTCTCTGCTCTCTCTCTCTCTCTCTCTCTCTCTCTCTCTCTCTCTCTCACACACACACACACACACACACGCACTGGGCGCTGAAACTTTCCGAAATCACGAAAGAGTTTTCCCCTACCGGGTCTATCTATATACTTTGTGACTTTGTTCCCGGTTACTGGGTCTGTATACACTTCGTTTACTTAACTTACAGTAACAGAGAGATGTCACTCGCGGTGTCGCTCCATAACTACAATGCATTGTAATCATTGTTACGGGAAGGACTTCCATAACAAGCGACCACCCCATCAAACACAATAAAGAAGAGGCCTAACCCTTACCCTAACCCTAACCTTACCCCTACCCCTACCCCTAGATTTACCCCTACCCCTAACCCTCAATTCTGCTCTGTCTCATGGTGGTCGCTCGTTATAGAAGTCCTCCCTTGTTTCGCGTATCGCTCGGCGCGGGGCGCAAAGACAGATATATATATATATATCACTGTAAATTAAAAGCATATAATCATAATCAATAGTGGGTTTAATTTTCACCAAAACTACTCTTTCTCCATTGTCTTTCTGTCCTCTGTCTCCCTCTCTGTCTGTCTCTCTGTCTCTCTTTCTCTATCTCTCTTTTTCACCCCTCTCTCGCGGTCTGTCTGTTTATCCGTCTGTCTCTCTCTCTCTTTCTTTCTCCCCCCTCTCTCGCTCTGTCTGCCTGTCTTTGTCTCACTCTGCCTTTCTTCCTCAGAGGTCATGGCACATACATGGAGGAGGACTGCCTGCATGCCTCTGTGGCCGGCACGGTAGAGAGAGTCAACAAGCTGGTGTCTGTGCGTCCCCCTAAGACCAGGTTTGTATGTCTTTCACTTTTACTTAGGGTGTCATCATCAATGCCTTTCACCCCTGGCAGGGTATAGGCCACATACAAGCTCCTTCCATTTATCTCTGTCCTGAGCCATCCTTCCAAGCTCGTTCCAAGTGAGCTTCATTTCTCTCATGTCCCTTTCCACGCGTCTCCTCCCTGTTTCCCGTGGCCTACCCTTGCCTCGTGCTCCTTGTGGGTTCCACTCCAGTGACTGTCTTGTGATGTTTCTGCTGGGCTTTCTTAAGGTGTGTCCCATCCTTCGCCACTTTCTTAGTCCTATTTCTACTTCTCTATCCTTTTGTCCTGTCCTTTCCCACAGCTCTTCATTTCTTATTCTACCCTACCACTTAATTCTTAGAATACTCCTCATACATCTGTTGTTGAAAGTCTGGACTTTATTCAGTACTGTCTTCGTTGTCTTCCAAGTTTCGCAGCCGTAGATGAGCACAGACTTGGAGTTAAAGAGTCGAATCTTGAAGCGCAGTGCGCAGTGAGATGTTGCTTGCACTTAGGGTGTGCTTGTATAAAAATCACAGTGTGGTTGAATCGCTTAGCTGAAATTACATTTTAAGATCTTCTTGTTCTTCTTCCTCTTCTTGTTCTTCTTCTTCTCCCTCCCTCCCTCCTCCTCCTCCTCCTCCTCCTCCTCCTGTCTGGAGCAGACATTGACGATCATGATACCCCATTTTTTCTTGTTGTCTGTCTTCTTGATCAGCTTAGTTTTTGTCTTTTTGTGTTATTCATTGCAAAGTTGTTCAGGCCATCTTGTTGGATCAGGAGGTTCAAATAGCTAAGATCTTATATCTAAGTACAATATCATTTTAATTAAATGTTTCTGCCTTGATTCTGTTCTGATTTCATTCTATTTTGTCACCCTGTGGATTCATGTATTCGCTTCAGGTACAACGGTGAGATCGGTGATGTTGTGATTGGTCGGGTCATTGAGCTGGCGTTGCGGAGGTGGCGGGTGGAGACTCACTCACGCATGGATTCGGTGCTCATGTTGTCCTCGGTGAATCTACCGGGTGGAGAGCTGGTGAGGATTCTAGGAAGGGACTGAGTAACAGTGGTTTGAGAGGGTTTGATTTGCGATTCATTTTGTATTAGAGCGAAATGGAGATGGAAAGAGAACTGGAGTGTTTGCAGGAGACCTGCTTGCCTATATAATACTGCTGCTTATGTTAATCACAGTCAGTCATCTCTACAATGCTAATGTTTCATGTATTTTGTTCAGGTTGGAGAAAATAAAAGCATGCTTTAAAAACAAATTTAAAAGACCATTTTACAAGCCTGTTTACCCAATCAGGGAGGCATTGCGCTGCCAAGAGCGAAATGCTGGCTGCTGAAAGGATTTGAAAGCAACCCAGTCTGCTTTTAAGAATAGATGGTTATATTTTTTTAAACTATGGTAAACAAGGTGAGCCCCAGGAATCCCAGGTATGCTCCGGGAATATGTATAAAAATCCTGAGACCTGGGATTGACTCTAGAAAATAAACTTTGCTCTCCAAACATTGAAAACCCAAGTTGATAGGTCAGTAGGTTCAATTTTTGTCTCTCAACATTCCCGATTCCGCGAGTGCATTTCATATAAACAAGCAGTGCTGACGGAAGCGAGGTGTCATATCAGGTCTGTGCATTCTAAATCGGGGAAAATGAAGATTTACTTTCGCTTTTGTTACCTTTCAGAATTCTCTGATGATGTCCTAATAAATGTTACAGTCATAACATGCAAATGATCTATGTTCATCGTTTTTCTGTGGTTTCAAAAACAAACTTCATCCAAGTTCTTGTTAGTTTGGCCCATCATCAAGGTCGGTCAGTGAAACTATTTTAAATAAGCATTCATATCATGTTACATCACCTCGTGTGAGTACATCTGTCAGGGACTGTTAGTCGTCAGCATCAACAAAGTTCATTCTCATTGGATGACAGTGGTCAAGAATCTTAGACATTATCTACCTTTTTCATAGCAATATTCAGCTTTTCAATCTAAGTTTCTCTCATTGTTACTCTGGCCTTGTCTTTCCTCAGCGTCGGCGATCAGAGGAGGACGAGAAGATGATGCGGAGTTACCTCAAGGAGGGGGACCTGATCAGTGTGAGTGTAGCTCTCCTTGTCACCACATCCTTTATTTGCATAATCTTTAACTCGTAGAGGGCTGAAGATGGGTTTGTCTACTGCCAGTGTTAGCGAGAGGTTTCATTGTGTGAGACGGAATATGGGAGTCATTTGGGTTTTTTTAATTGGGTTTTTTAATTTATTTTTTTTACTTCTTTCTAATCCTGGTCTTCATTCCTGCAAATATTTTGCATGTTATGCATGCACTTGTATTAAGTACGTGAAAACTCTTTCCTCTTTCTGTTTTTTAAAAAGTTTACCGTTTTACCTTTCCCAAGGGCAGGTTTACGTGTACTGCTGAATCTCCTGAGGGTGTTACTGTGATTCTATGAAACATAGGTGAAAGCTGCTCAAGTGAAGGGTGAACCACAGCCCTTGGGAGAAGCCTCAAATAGTGGCTACCTTAGAATTACAAAGTTCTATCTGACATTTTTGGCCGTTTTGAGTTACTAAGACCATGAGGTCAGAAACTAAATGTTCTATCTGCTCTATCAAAATTGTAAGATTATTCGAAGACGTTATAAAGATATTCAAAGAATTGCATTCAAAAAAGCTTAAAATGACATGCTGTGAAACTCCAAATTTTTTAACATCAAATTTCTCAAAGCTAGGTACTGCGCAGATAGAACTTTATAATTCTAGGGTCACGTAGTGTCTTCCAAATACTGCTCGGAGACAATGCATTGTCGCAGGCTCGGATAACTTGTCAACATGTTTTGTACTTCGACTTGAAGTCTGATTGTTTCCCTTTACTCAGATAGTTGGCCATTTTAAAAATGTATTTCTTCTTTTCTGATATTTCCCCTGCTGTGAAGACAAATTTACGTTAAGACTGTGGTCTATGTCTCTAATTCTTCAATTTGTGATGGGTTGGGGTTGTTTTTTTCTCTTGGAGGGAGATTCCCCTAAATGCTGATACAGTCGTCTCCGCCTAAGATCCCTTCGCTTATGATCCCGATTCTCCTAAGAACCCGCTGTTTTGGAAAAACAGAATTTCTACTATATGAAAGTCACCCCTAAGATCCCGCACTGAAGGAGTTACATTCGGCTTGGATCCCGCTTTTTAGGTCATAATTTAGTTATTTTTTTCTTTATTTAAGAAAAATAAAAAGAATAAGAAACATGGGCGCGCTCAGCTGATCAACATAGTAGCAAAGATGTGCGATCATTGTACTGTCCGACACGTCACGGATCATCCACTCTCATGAATGCGATCACACGTCTGTTGTAAATCACGATAAGCAGTTACAATGTTTGCCCCAGATGGGGTCGCACCAAAGTGTGAACTCGTCGATGCCTTGCTTTTGTTGATCACCTGAGCCGTCCGTCTGATCTTACATCACACACCAGGTGGGGCCTAGTAAGTTTCTTTGCTTCAACCTTTGATGTACATTTTTTTTTTTAATTAACCCTCTTGTTAAAAACAGCTACATTATCAATGTTAATGCAATTATGACTTGATGTAGCCTGTCAGCAGATTAAAATTTGCTGTTTTACGGAAACACTTACTGACCTTAACTTTATGACATGTACTGTTATCACTTTCTTCAGGCTGAGGTTCAGAACGTGATGTCTGACGGATGTCTCTCCCTGCACACCCGCAGTTTGAAATACGGCAAGGTAAGTCACTTTGTGGTTATATCCCTGAGCTGACCAGATCCTCATTGGGGACTCTCGTGGTCAAGAGGTTACAGTGTTTGTCTCGCATTCAGTAAGTCTTGGGTTCGAAACCTGGCAGCGACAACAAATTTTCTTCTCAAAAATGTTCTCCTTTCACCTCCTTTCCAGCTCCCTGTCCATGTTCTGTCATCTGCTTTCGTCTCCACTTTTTGCCCCCTCGTCTGGGCTCTTGACTCTTTCTGCTGTCTTCTACTGTTACTGCGTGGTATTACTGCTTGGCTCCTTCTTACTGCTGTCTTTCAGCCACACCCCTGATCTTATGGTTGGTAAGACCTGAGTCCTAGCCTTCTCAGATAGGGGGAAAAAAATCTCGGAGGTCACGTGTGAAAGTTGCGCACATTAAAGATCACTTGGTGGTTCTAAAAAATCGATTAGAGTAGGTTTCAGCTGCCACCTGGACAAAATTCAAAATCCCTACCGAACTGAAAATGTGTAAAGTGTCCCGTATGCTCATATGACCTTATGTCAGTTGTATGCACTATAAAACACTTGCCAAAACAAAACAAAAATGATCCTCATTGATGTGTGGAGTAGATGAGCTCTCCTTCATGGCCAGCTCTTTTCACTTTTTGACTTGTCAGTGTTACCTTTTGGTCTTTGTCTGTTCCTGGCACAAATGTGGCCATTGCCATGGTGACGCTTTATAAACTTTTATTTTAACTCATATCCATATTGATAGTTTTTGAAGAGGCTGAAAACGTGTACAATGTTTAAATTATTCAAATGCAGTGTTTCTTATTTTTTTACAGTTCTGTTCAGGATCTGTCATTGTTAGATCTAATATTGATTTTATAAGTGCCCTTGAAAATGACATTTGACTGTATAAAAGGCTTGCTCTCCTTGAGCTATTTTTTTCACTTTTTTTATCATTCAAGTACTGTAACTGTGAAACACATCAATAACAACATAAGTCAAATCAAGCTGAAAAATGAGGTGACACATGGTCATTTAGACCTCTTCAATAAGCAAAAGACTCTTAATGTTATGGGAGGAGGAAGATTTTTTTTTTTTTAGGGGGGTTGTGCACCCCCTCAAATGTCTGTGTGGGTGGTTAACAAGCGCTCTAGTGAGCTTTGCTGCTTTTTCTTTCCTGTCAAACATCTATCGTCCTTATCTCACCTCCTTCTTTTAGTGTTTGTTACTCTCTTGTAACATCTGTAATCTTCGGCACTCACATGTATATGTCCTTATCGTTCTGCAAGTGCCGTAAAACAAAAGCAAATGTTTGTGGTTGTTCCCCAGCTGGGCCAGGGAACGTTGGTGCAGGTTTCGCCGTCGCTGGTGCTGCGGAGGAAGACCCACTTCCACAACCTGCCTGTGGGCGCGTCCATCATCCTGGGCAACAACGGGTTCATCTGGCTCAGCCCCACCCAGGACGAGCAGGACGGGGACACGGGCGGCTACCAGACAAACCTGCAGGTGATGAGGGAATCTGTTTTCTAAAGGGGAGGGTCGGGTTGTTGTGGTTACGTAAAGAAAAGAATGCGTGGTAGTTTTTGATTGATCAGACAGTTTGCCGTAAATGTTCGTGATCCTGTTCTATCGAAACGCTAATGGTTATCTCCCCATTAAGAGAATAGAACGTGTGGGTTATTGACTGATCAGAAAGTTCGCTGTACTGTTAATGTTCTGTCCTGTTTTACTTTGGAAAGTCTCATGGTTATCTCCCCTACAGGGACACTGATGAAATTTTCGTCTGTGAATAAAGTTCACTTCCCTCTGGCTGAGGGTTTCAATGTCAGATTCAGTTCATGAAGATATTTGAAGAATGTACTATTCCTAACCATAAACTGGTGGGTTTTCATGCTTCAGGATGGTCATGTCCAAGAAAAGAGAGTTGTTTAGTGGTTGTATGTACGTAAGTTAATTTATTTACCCTGGTAAGCATATATTTGGTGGTTGTATGCATGTGAGTTTATTTACCCTGGTAAGCATGTATGTGTGTGCTTGAGGAAGAGAGAAAGAATAAGCGTTTCAGAAAAAGTATCTGTGTTTCTGCAGTGTGAGGAAGAGAGAGTGTACCGTATAACGATGTACAATTATAAACTGCATGTGTGGCTATCTGCTATAAACTCTGATGAATAATTTGTGTGTTGATCTGCTCTTCTATATGGCTGTAAATGCTGGACATTCACTAAAGACAGTGAAAATAAAATAGAAGCTACAGAAATGAGGTTTCTTAGGAGAATGCTGAGAATATCGTGGAAGGAAAAGAAATCAAATGAGGTAGTACTTGATGAGGCCCATGTGGGATGCTCACTGTAAAAACAATCAGGAAACGACAAATTCAGTTTTTGGGACACCTGAGTAGACATAAAGGTCTTGAACATCTAGCTCTTACTGGCAAATTCGAAGGCAAATGAGGCAGGGGTAGGCCCTGAGCAACCTTCTTTGGGAACCTGAACAATAAATGGGTAACAGTTAAAGATCAGGGAAACGTAGCTTTTTTGAAGAGCATCCAAGTGAAGGAATGAATGAGGAAACCATGATCGCCAATGTCTGTCGCAGATCTGGCACTGGATGATGATCTTCTTTAATTCCTGTCTGTCCCTCTGTGTTTCTCCCTAGCCTGTCTCCCACAGTGATCGTGAGGTGATTGCTCGTCTCAGAAATTGTGTTCTGGCGCTGGCTGACCGGCAGATGCTTCTTTTTGACACCAGCATCCTGCATGCGTATGAGGCTTCCATGAAACACACGGTAAGTGAACAGTCAAGCGCAGTTATCTCAATACGAACATGCTGACATATCCGTAATTCAAATAACTTGATGAAAAGGAAAATAAGAGAGATGTTAAGAAAATTAAGGGAAGTAACTGTGACAGTGAAGTGTTAAAAAAATAAATCGCTGCTACTATGAAAAGTACCTGATGTGGTGTTGGTAGTCTAGTGGTTAGGCTACCGGATTCGTAACTGTGAGATTACGAGTTCACGGCCAAGCTCCGTCAGATGTTCTGTCCTTGGGAAAGGCACTCTACACAAATGTTCCCAATCAGCTCAATCCTATCAGAGACTGACTTAAAATTCAGAGGTCGAGACGCTCAAATAACCTTACAGTGTTGCAAGGAGCGCAAAGTTATACCTGAACAATTTCGCATTTCCTAACGGGTATCAATAAAAGGATAGATGGATGGATAGTGTGTGCCCCCTGTTTGGTGTGGAAGCATGAGAAAAAGAAAAAGCTCTCACAGCCACAACTCGATCACGACAATTTGACCAACATTGATCAGAGCATATGCCCATCCCTCTTGTGTAATCACTTCCCAGTTCAAATCTTTACATTCACACAACGACATACACATTTGTGCACAATCATAAGCATAATTTGCACACCGTACGGCTCAATGCTAGCGCTACACAGTCTGTCTTTGATCACTCTCCACCACCCAACCATGGGTGAAAGTGACAAGAGACGGTTTAGCCTGAAAATTTTGTTGTTAGAGAACGCATAGCCTGAAAAGTTCATGGTAAATTCACGCGGCCTGAAGGATGGGGTACCTTTTTCAATTTTCCAGGGGCATGTTACATAACAATGACAGCACATGCTCTATTTAAATATAATGCACACAAACACACACACAAACAAGTACGTACCCAACTTTATATAATATGTATCCTGTCAACAAAATTGCTATGAGGAACTGGAGTCTTGTGTGACTTGCGTATTTCAGTCTGTTCTTGCTTGTTATATATTTTCTTATTTATATTTTCCCCTCATCATGTTATATATAATATATAAACTATATTATACAAATGAATGCTGCTTTGAGCCGGTGAAAGGGCCTAGAACCAGAAAATCGACTGTCGAGAACCAGTCTTGGTATCATGATTCATATCATAAACGTGAAAGACAAAAATTATTGCTCAAACTCAAAGTAGAGTAAAAACTTCAATGGCTCAAGTAACTCTATTCAGTGCTGTAAGAACTGAGAGAGGTAAAGATGCAGTGATACTGAAAATCTGCCAGTCTTGAACAGAAAGCTAAAAAAAATATAGTTACTTTATAATTTACTATCACCCATCCAATGAAACGCAAACACTTTAGTCCATCAATAACAAGGCTTATAAGATATGACGGATCCCGATTCCACACACGGCCAGTACCAAAGCGCGCTTTGTAGAGAGCTCAAATAGAATATTTTAAAATAAAATGTGCTTCCAAGTTTGTTGTCCTCTGGTGTTGCCTTCCGCACCCTCCCCAACCAGAGTATCTTTAAAAAAAAAAAATCAATAATATAATCCCCCCCTTCCGAGTCCTATGCTTCCAAACGCTCAGACTTTGAATGAACTTTGGCGACCCTAACTACTGTCGATGCTCACAGTCACAGGATTCCGTTTCATGCAGGATCAACGACCGGTCACCACGAGGAGCCCAACAAGCTGACAATCGGATGACGCTTTCCTTTCTTTCTTCACAAGTGACAGTACAGATACAACATTTGATTATTTTCATGGCGACAGAGCGTTTATAGCTGACGACCTGTATGTCACAAATGTTGCGTTGCCAGTCTATCACGCCAAGTTTTGGGTGGTAACGAAAGCGAAAGTAATCTTGATATTCCCGATCGAGCCACGGTGTCACACGCTTCCGTATGCCGCCATAGCCGCCTGTTCGGGTAACACGTACTGTCGGACCGAGAAAAGACGAACGAATGTCACAATCGCGACCGGCAAAAATTAACTTACTTACCATATCGGAATTTGTTTTCAAATATTCCAGTAGTAAAAGCTTTTGATCTAGACCTAAGCCTAACTCGTAGGGACTTGTGTGAAATATTGTCAAGCAACCACCGAGTGGATGTGCCATGCACCTGATGAAGCCCAATGTGTACTGTGTGTGTAGTTCTGGAGGTCAGGTCGCTGGCGATGCAATGAGGTAAATTTACAGTAGTTTAATAAGGACCGTACAACTGAGACAGTTGACGGATGGCAGTGTAAAGGCATAAATACTTTGTTTATAGAGTGGATTCTTTTCGTACATTGGCAAAACATGGTGGTATAATGGGGGTGACGGTACTATGAGGTTTGACTGTATTTCGAGGGACAGAAAATTTCAGGTTCATAGCATGAAAAGTTTTTTAAATATTTCACAACTTCCATTTTAATAACTTTTAATCCACCATTGTATTAGGAAGTTTTTTTCCTCAACACTGACCGAGGTTCTGATGTTGTTTTTGCAGGTGAAGGAGCTGCTGAAGCCCGAGGTCATCGCAGATGTGGTGGACCTGGTTCGTCAGCGCATGGAGTTAGAGGGCAGTTGAGCCAGTTCTGGGAGTGTGTGCTTGTCAGTGTTGATGTGTGTTTGTATCTGATTGTAGGTGTGCATGTGACTGGTTGTAAGTATGTGTTTGAGTGAAAGTGTGTCGGTGTGTGCGTGTTAAATTGAACATTATGAATGGTAATTTTGTACATGTATGCGCATGTGGTGATGGCTGGAGATGTCTGAAAAAGTATCTCACTTTGTAATTCCATGCGTGTTGTTGGTTAGAGGCGAGGGAGACTGAAGCTTGTTAAAAGAAGACAGCAGCCTTTTCATGAACTCTTGTTTATATTCATCTACATTAAATAAAGTTGTCTTATGAACATTTTTGATTTTGTGGCTTTTTTTTTGCTTTTTTTTGGACATTTCTGAAGACATCCACAAAACACAGAACTTCTTACAGTAGCCTTCATCCCAATTATAATTTGAGAACTGGAAGTGAAAATGGTGAGAAATGGAAAAGGTTTTTTAGTTTTAGTAGAGGGTTTTACGGCGCTCGCAACTACATAAGGTCATATTAGTGCCAGGAATAGGTTTAACGCCCCTATCAACACTAAAAGGTTATTTAGGAGTTAGGACTTCCGAGTTAAATGAATGTCCATCTCCAAAAGGACCGAGCCATATGGGAAATTCGTGTTAAGTGCCTGCCTTTTCCAAGGACACAGTGTCAGATCAAGCTAAGGCTCGAACCCACAATCTCACGATTACAGGTCTGGTAGCTTAACCACCATGCTACCGACGCCACGAACTGGCAGTAAAAAAAAACATGTTGGAAAGAGTCGCAATATTAATACATATATTCTCATACCTACAACCCTGCCTAAAGCCCCGGTTACATGCAACGATAAATTGTAACAGGTTCGTCGTATGAAAGAACTGTCCGCTATCGAACTGTGTTGTCTGTTTACACGTTATAATCTATTGTCCAGTTTTTTTTCGATTGAGGAGATCCCTCATCATAAAGCCACCTTGTCTCTTTGCAACGACAGCGATTTGCCTGCACTCTTTGTGAAGGTATCGACTCGGGACCTAATGAATGAAAGGCGAACATTGTACCTCTAGATCACGAGAGCCCCCAAACCCCCTCCCCTGTACATTTTGATATAGCAGAAGTGTCTTTAGAAAAGGGTGGCCTTACTGTACCATGTTGTATGTAGAAAAAGGAGCTTTGACTAGACTGCAGATGGGCTATGCACCAAGTGACCTTGATGCACAATTTCACCATTGACGATCAATTAAGTAATAAAATGATTCAAATTTATATAATTTCGCATCAAATCAGGTTCCCCGCAAGATACTCTGCTTATTTTGAGACAGTGATTCCAAATATGAAATCAGTTTTAAGATGCGATCATTATTTTTAAAATTTTACGCCATAAGTTTAATCCGGTACAGCAGCAAATTTCAAAGTGATTCTACGTCACAGCGCATCTCCCCGAAATCTGAACGTGACGGCAAGAAAAGTATCGAGCAGCGCTTGATTTCTCTACCGAGTCTCCAAGCCATCATCCAAATTTTGTACAATTTTGTGGTTACATCTAACAATTTATCGTATGATTGCTAGGCCGTCCAGGTTTTGTACTAGTTATTGTTAGGTGTAACCGTGACATTAGATTTGCAGGAGTACACTAATTTAAGTACTACAATGAATGCCTTCAAGCCACACAGAGGACAACAAAACAGACCAAACTCAATGCAGTCCATATTTTTAAGTTTTTTATTTCCATCCATTGACCTGTCACAACATTGACATCAACATACAACAAGTTGGTAGAAATCCTGTCACAAAACTCACCATGTGCAATAGAATAACATAATAATATTCATAAAAATATTGGGCATGAAAGGCCAGGCCCCAATACATAATGTGGATGATGATAGGGGGGGGGGGAGGGGTGTCTATGGCAGGTCTGTACACAAAGTGACCACTGAGTGGGCGGGAGGGGTTGCTGTGAGACCAGCACTTCTCTGCCCATAGGCTCAGGGACCACAGAGTATACGAGGCTCAGTTGGGAGCCTGCCCATACATTTACTGATCACCAAGTGGACAGAAGTAGAACTGGGACTGTGTGAAGATAACAGCCGGGCCCATGCGCAAAATGACCAGGGTCAGTGGTAGACATTGCCGTGTGATGTGTGTTTGTTTATATATGTATATATATAATATTTATAATTCAATGTTACAACTTTTACAAGGGAGTACATTCTGTACCATCAGTGAGAAAAAAGGCCAGGTGGCAGTGCACACACGTGTAACCAGTGGACCAGGAACCAGACAAATGTACAAACTGACCACTGACGGACAAGAAAAAAACACGACATTCCTCATCTACTTTACACTTACTTTAAAATAATTGAGATGAAAAGTTTGTTACCATAACAAGAAAATGGTACCATTTTAATAAGCATGGTGGTACCACAATCAACATGATGAACATGAGTCTGGACATTTACTGTTATACACGTCATCGGCAGCTGGATAGGACCAGAGCCAAAATAGAGAACAAATGTTGCACACAGAATATTTTGTCTCTCGACCCACCCCCCCTTTATGCCTCAACCAGGTTGGTTAAAATGTACAGTTCGCAATAAAAATTATACATAAAATTTTAGTGTGGTGAAAGTGTGTGTTATACAATCTATGCTGCTCTAACAGCCACCTTTCCAAGACGATTACCTGTAAAAATGACCATATTCCACACACACACGTGTGTAAAATTGTTGTTTATTTTTTTATCTGATGATGTGATGGTCTCCGTCAATCTACAACAAGAATCTTTCCTACTTCAAATTCAAACAAATAGATCCGGACCACCCATCAGAATAGAAAATTTGCATTCTCACACACACACACACACACATACACATCAAGCAAAATTAAGAGTAAAAAAATCTGACGGGTCTACGAAGACACAAATATAGCAAGTGAAAAGAGTAGGAGCCCATGTTTAACCAGGCTTCAATTTATCTCTTTAAAAAAAATAAATTTAAGGACACTGGTCAAAAGGTTTAGAAAGTCTGTCACGGCAAAAACACAGACAAAACCCAATTGCACTCTGAACATCGAGCAAACCAGAAAGGGACTGAATGTGAACATTTTCCATGTATAGTTTTACTCTATATACATATAAATATTCATCGTTTTTCTTTACAAACAGCAGATGTGTTTTGTAGTAAGGAGCATGAGGAACCTTCAGCTCCATCCAAAAGTATACAACAACAAAGTACAGCTGTACTCAGCCAGAGATGTGTTAACACAGTTAACAAGAACCATCATCAACAACACCACCACAAACTGACAAATGATTATTAAAGACACGCCATCATCACTACCAGACAGGATCAGAGCAGCACCACCGTAATGCAGTGATACTATCAGGAATGCTAGAAACAACCGGTACACATGTACCTGAGTTACAGGATGATACATCTCCTCACAGTCACAGTCAAAACTTGGGAAGGGGGAGTGGGGCGCCACATTTAAGATGTAGAGTAGTTCAACACAGCACAAGACCACGCCACGCACACAGCCAGGGATCAGTACATAAGGAATTTACTCCTGTCCTTTTCCACGAAGACAGTCTTCACAATACATTAAATGGGCCAACTCCATCCATTCACTGTAGGTAGGGCAGTTCCTGAGAACGACTGCCACGACATCAAGGCGTGGTTGGGTGTGACGATGGTTAATGTTTTACTCCACCCCCAATCTACACAATTTAGAGAATTTAATAGGCAGTCGGCTTTGAGTCGACCCTTTCTGCCACTACCGTCAGGGCTAACCCAAACTAAATAGGATATTGTTTCCCAGTAGAAAGACAAAGAAACTTGACAAAACAACTTCCACGAGCTCGAGTAGGACCCCATAATTATGTCTTCTATGAGCAACCACAAAAAGCTTTATCATTACGTCACAGTCAGACACCATTCCAAAACAGGGAGCAGTGAGAGAAATCAACTACACCAGCGTGTATCGTACTCTGTACAGACAAGTCAAGTCGGCCACTGAGCAACAGAGGTACCTGCACTGTCATTAAAGATTTTTATCACAGTCTCGTAAACAGCAACAGTTTTAGAAAGTGGATTGGGTGGCTGGATCGGGGGAGGGAAGGTGGGGGGGGGGGGGGGGGGGGGGGGGGGGTATGGGGTGCCAGAAAGGAGAACAGAGACACTCTTGATTGAATAGCCTCTAACACAGCTCATTTGGTTACTACCGATGGAGACCACCGATATGAATACCTTATTCAGATGGACCCAGATGCGTAGGGGGCGAGCGAGGAGTCAAGGACAAAACCCCTCTCTGAAGACCCCAGTTCTGGAATCAAGTAATCAAGTACAGCCCACTTGTCAGACATGCTTTTTTGAAAATTGAAACCAACCATACTTGTAAGATGCGACAGGTGGAAACTGACATATGCGTCATCACCACACGATGGAATCGGGCGCTTGTCAATTTTTGAGCATGTGAAGTTATTGGCATCATTTTACAGCCTATTCACTTATTTTACTTTCAATGAAAAAATTACCCATCTATCTTGAAAAGAAGTTTCAGAGTTAAAAATAGCCGCCAAAGTTTGGTGACTTCAAATGCTTGAGAGTCCTTGGAAACTGCAAATTTAGATTAATTTTTTTTGGTGCCTTTGATCAACGTTTTCTGTAAAAATCCGCGCATAAGGTGTTGAGACAAAAGAAAAAGAAAATTAGAAAAATTGCAGATTTCTTAGATATTCTTTTGACGAGTGCCTGATTTCACCATGATGCTTCACATATACTTATTTATATATATATATATATATATATATATATATATATATATATATATATATATATATATATATATATATATATATAAAAGCAATAAACAAGAAGAACAAGGATATGGGGAGGGGTTGAGCAGGTCCCATCAGCCCACCAGTCTTGTTGGAATAAATACAAACCTTTATGTACAATCAACAGACTAACAATATCTAAATAACATGAGAGGGTATAAGAAAATAACATGCAGGTACAGACATTCCTATCACCAGGATTTGCAGTATCTTCATCTCTCTCACTCACTCTCTCTCTCTTATTCTCTCACACAATATACATGAATGTTGAGGGCCGCCAAGTGAACTATGGTAAGTCATGTTTTTCATATATAACAGGAGAGACAAAAACGGATTTTCTTGAACCATTTTAGGTGGATAAACTTCATTTCCATAAGGGAGCCTACTTTTGTCTCTCCTGTAAAATTTGAAAAACATAACTTACCATAATTTACTTCACGGCCCTCGGATGTATGTGTGTGTGTGTGTGTGTGTTTGTTTGTGTGTGTGTGTGTGTGTGTGTGTGTGTGTGTACTAAAACACACAAGAAGAAAGATGGAGACAGCGTCAAACTGTCTGACCTAGGCTGTGGGGTCGATCGACACAAACATCTGTTAAACTGTAAAACACTGGGAGATCAGCAGTAAATGGAATATACAAATATGTATTATTATTATTATGCTTTTCATCCTCTGGTCTCTATACACATAACTACCTAGGTAATGGCATAACCATCACACCCATAAACTACATCTTTGTATAGCATTAGGACAATTTTCAGGTCAGGCACATTCACATTGAGAGATCAGCACACCACCCCCACACACATGAGGAGAGAATCAGACAAGAAATGTGACCACCACGCTACGGCTAAATCTGAATGTGTGAAAATTCCGTAAGTACATACTGTCAAAGTATAAATACATAGAAAGACCAAGAGAGAAAGACAAAGAGAGAACTCTTTTCCTTCCCCCCTCGTCTTCACGTTGATTTTAAGGTAAGAAAATGGGCCACTCAGAATAAACTCAAAATGGAACCGTTTAAAAAATCGAAACATGTTGATATCACAAAGTTGTCAAAGTGTACAGATCACCGACTGTCATTCAGAACATAACAAAAGAAATCACAAGGCAATGTCACAGACAATGGCACACAAGGTCAAAAGGTCACTCCTGAGAGCCAACTGGCCTTCCAACTGCCAACATCATAAAATTCTGCGCAGGACTCAACTCCAGCCTAATAGTTCTGTGAAAGACAATTTTGAAAAGAAAAAAAAACAAGTCCCAACAACCTGAAATCATGCTACAAAGCTAGCAGCTCTTTGAACATAGAATTTTTTTCTTTTTTTTTTCACCACAACATTCTTTTAATTGTGCCAACCCTCCCTCCTGAAGCAAAAAGAGGATAAAGAAAACAGTAAGCCCAGTCAACGTATTGAGGCAGCCAACCCCATATTCACGATTATCCCATTCTGTCATTCACAAAATTCCCAACAAAGTATATTCAGATTCAGAGGTACAGCCGTTTCCTCACGAATACTGACCACAGGTCTATAATGAATTCAACTTGGCACAGAAACATTATTGAGGCAACAAAATTCAACAAATATCAAGTAAAAGTCATAAGAATCAGCAAACACCAAAAATTACAAATTACTCAAACTTTTGTATGAACACGTACAAAATAAAGGGATAAAAACAACAATAAACATGTACACATGTACAAATAGTAGACACAAGTTGCATGAAACATGTACACATGTACCTACAGCAGATGAAGACCATCACAGAGATCTGTTATGTCTTCTTGCTTACAAAAACAGTGACTCTCGTCAAACATTAGACATCGTTCCCGACATCGCTACTGGGTCACAGAGAGTGGGACTGGGCTCCACAGACAGCATCTGTTCTGGCAAAAACCTCCAACCACACGGTGACCACGCAGAACGTTCGGTACTTTTTGCACTTGGACACTTAGGAGCACTTTCTGTGACTGTCAGTCTGTTTGTCCCAGAAGTCCACACACAGGAGCACGGAACACACTATCTAAGCTGACACAGGAGCACGGAACACACTACCTGAGGTGACACAGGAGCACGGAACACACTACCTGAGCTGACACAGGAGCACGGAACACACTACCTGAGCTGACATGCTGGCCAAACGCCACATCATTCTTCAACTTCGCCCCAATAAGTCTCCACGATCAAAAACTCTTGCCAAGTAGGTAAAGACAACATGGTCCATCTTTAGGGTCACCACCTTTAAGCTTTGAGTTGAGCACACAATGAATAAAATACGAAGATGCCGTGCCCCCCATGTCTTGTGACCCGAGGAATGTAGAGTTCATCTATCTCCTCATCGCAGAGGACAGCAGTTTGATCAACAGATTTCCCTCACTTTGACAGTGCCTTAACCGTAACAGTCTAGTGATTAGCAGTTTTTGTTCCAAAGGATCAAGTTCACACAGTTCTTAAAAATCTTGTCGCCTTAACCCAGCTCATCACACTTCTATGCCTCAGAGCATATCTCAATGTCCACGACAAATAACTCTGCATCTCTCTGCTGACAGACAGTATTTCCACTACAAGTTGAGCAGGAACATCAACATAGATCGTCTTGTCCAACAGCAAGGCTCGGTCAAGGCTGCCTCGATGACAACTCCAAGTCAATCCCGACAGATTCTTCCTTTCTCTCTCTCCCTTCACAGTAGACTCTATCTTTCTCCACAGACTCTACGTCCACTTAAGAGTTGAGCAGGAACGGGATGTAGATCATCTTGCTGGACAACAGCTGGGCTGAGGCGGCCTCAATGCTGGCAAACTGCTGCAAGAGGTCGCCCAGTCGGTTGGCCTCGGAGGGAAACCGCTCCAGGATGTATTGCTGTAAGGCCTGTTTGTACGAGCTGGCGATGTGATGCAGCACTGTCTCCTTCTTGGCACTCTCTGTGAAGGGGAACAAAACTACAGGTCACTCAGTGCAATTGAGTCAATTTAGTCAGAGTAAAGAGAAGCACACAATAATGGTCATTTTTGGGCTGTGAAAAAAGATGACAAACGTACAGAAAGAAATACTGAAAGAAAAGAAACAAGACCAACCAGCGGCACTCTCATCCAATCTCCAAACGTAAAAACATTGGACGAAGTCACTTAGCAATTCTATTTCAGAGACAGAAGACAGGCATGCCATTGATGGCAAATTTTGGCCCTTTATACTTAAAAAAAAAAAAAAAAAGTATCCCAAATACAATGTAATTGTACCTTTAATCAAAAATGTTTGGCCAGTATACGAACTGTTGAATCTTTATTGAAAAACATTTTTCCATTGCACCATGAAATCAAATCTTTCAACAACAACTCTCTTTTATACAACCCCCCCCCCCCCCCCCTAAAAAAACAAAAAGTAAAAAGTGAAATAACTGTTCTTAAACATTGTCATAATTATACAAATCTATCAGCCCCTCCTTCCTGGGAAAGGACTGAATATCAGCCCGTCATCTGTTTGGCGCAAAACCCTACATTTTTCCCAAATTGTATGAGTTGAGATTTCAAAGACAAGCACACACAGAGGGCGTGTTGGTCATTGGACCACTCACCGTGACTGAGCAGCAGTATGACCATGAGACAAAGCAGCTCCTTGCGGGTGACTGCCAGCTGCCAAAAGTATGCCATGATGGCCGTCACTTTCTCCATCAGAGGCCCAATCTCGGCCCGGAGCTGTTCCACAGAGAAGTATTTGCCGAAGCTGGGGAAGATACAAGAGACATTCTTGGGTGAGTTGACTTGTTGTTTTGACAGGGGAAACAGTCACAGGTGATAGGGTTTTGAGACAAACAAAACAGTCAAATGATAAAGATTAAATTGTCCCAGTTTTTAAAAAAAGAAGCTATGCCTTAAGACATTATTCAACATAGAGGTCTTGACATCAAACATTGAAGTCAAAGAACAGACTAAACATTTCTGACTGAGCGGAAAAAAACTAAGACCAATGTTATTGGGTTTTTTATTTCGCTTGAGTTGAACGCATTACTGATCTCAGCAAAGGTCACTTCAAAAGCAGGAAGATAAGATATCAAACCAAAGCAAGATCAATTCAGCAGAGGGATCACAGGCATCATCACCTTCATCCAAACCGTTGCCACCCATCCTCGCCTGATGTGTGCACAGATTACACAAAGATTACACGAATCACGATGCAGATCTTTATCAAGCTGTCATTCATTAGAAAACTTTTTAGAACATCCCCATTAATGGACTACAGCACTTATTTATCTTTGACAGCACACATGAATCTGTAAAAGGGAAGAGCTGAGTCCTGATTAGATAGCATGATGACTATCTATGTAGCGGGTGGAGGGTTCCAGTCTTAAAATAGCCTAATTTGTTAATGACCTCACATACAAGCACTTGTTTGAGAGGTGGTCTCAACTCCTGATTTGACAAGAAGACAACTGGCACACGGAGTGTGTTTGTCTTAAAATAACCGCATCTCACTTGCCATATCAGTGATATATCAATTGTAATCTGCCTGTTCAAGGACAACAACTTTGAAGGATGACTTTATGACCGCCCCTCCATCTCTCCCCCCTGATAAGCCACACACGCTGACAGTGACAGTGAAGATAGAAGAAAACACAAAATAACTACAGATCTATTCAAAGCGTCAATGTGGTTCCATTATCACTGCTGGCCTCCACGCATCAAAGTGACAACCAATTGCGCCATTTTATCAGATATCTTGCACTGATCAGTCATCCCACCAGGCCAATTCCCGTTAAGGATGGCAACAGACACACACGCATGCACACACCCACACACGCACGCATGAACATACACATGCCTAATGTGCATACACTCAAACACACACACACATGTGCTATAAATTTGAGACGGACAAGCTGGTTAAGGGAATTAAAGTGATGTCCTGTCATGAGATTTCAAGGGGGATACATCAATATAGACAAGAACATTAACTTTAATTTTAACCTCTCTGTCACAATCTTTACTTTCCAACAACTAAAAACGTCTTAAAATACACTTTAATTACCACAGTTAAGGCATTAGCAACACTCGACAACTTTCCAATCTCAGTATGTAATTCTGGTGATGATGATGATGAAGACAACGATGCACGAATACCATGACTAAATCAAGCTACTTCTATGTTTCCTTTAGTAAGACTTTTGCTGCACTGGTAACACAAATAGACCATATAAGTGCCAGAGATGAAAGGTGTTACAACAAGAGAGTAATGTACAAGGATAAAAAAGAGGAAAGAAAAGGACAATAGACGTTTGATAGGGGAAAAAAACAAGGAAACCACACCAGACCATCCACCAACCACCCATGGTCACTGTTATAAGCCAGTTAAAGCTAGTTAAAGCTCCCCCGAGTCCCTCACCTTTTCTCTAGGTACTCCTGCATGCGACTCATGTTGGAGGAGAACAACTCGGAGAAACTAGGCTTAGGCCCGGCCTTCTTGGCCCAGTGTTTGGTGACGGGTCCATAGGCGGTCATGATCAGCAGCAGTAGCTCATGCCACTTGGACATTAGGATCTCCGTCTGAAGCTCCTTGGGGATTTCCCTGGGTGGACACAAACACAAAATTCACCAGATTAGAGACACATAATATTATAGAACAACAGGGCGCTAGAGACACACGCACAGAATACAGTAGTTTAGTTTTAGTAAGAGTTTTCTACCATGAGGTCAGAAACCAAATATTCTATCTGCTCTATCAAAATTGTAAAAATATGGAGAGTTGTTATCAAGATATTCAAAGAATTGCATTAGAAAAGGTTAGATATAATAATATTGTGAAACTCAAAAGTTTTGACGTCAGATTTCTCAAAACTAGGTAATGAGCAGTTGTTAGAACTTTAAAATTCTGTGGTACTCACTTGTAGAAGGGCAGCTGCTTCATCCAGTGGACAAATCTCATAACAATGTTGTCCCCGACCTGGCACAGCGCCTGAGCCACATTCTCCTCCGAGCCCGTGAACTGGTCGATCTGGTAGTCCTCCGCGATGCTCAGCAGGCAGTCATTTTTCGCCAGATCAGCCAGGAGAGCAGACGGCGATGAGTAGAACGGTAGCGAGGAACCGCCAGTCGCTAGCGGCTGTGGGTTCTTGAACATGACATTGTCCTGGTTGCTTTGTGGGGAGTCGCCAGGAGGGGGCTTTGTGTTGGTGGTGGTCGTCATGTCGGAGGCCAGCGGCTGGTGGTGGTGGTGGTGGTGGTGATGGTGATTATGGTGATGGTGGTGGTGGCGGCTTGAAGCGGGTGACTTGAAGGTGTGAGTGCTTGAGGAGGGGACACTGCCGGACAGATGTTGGGGGACGTGCAGTTTGGGGGAGGTGTTGCAGCTGGCGCTGTAGTAGTAGTGGCTGTCCTCGGGAGCGATCGACGGCGCTGTCGTGGAGATCGGGGAGGAGGAGGAGAGGGTCCCGGGAAAGGTCTTCGCCGAGCTGTACGGCCCAGAATCTCTACGGCCAGGGAAACCTGCACTGCTAGCGTGAACCCCTTCTCCCATCAAGCCATGCGACTCGCTGCGAGTATCCACTTCTTGTTTGACTTGCATTCCTCCTGGGACCTGTTCACCTGAGGGAAAGCCTCCAACAGCTGACTCAGCACCTTCCATGGGCTGAGATTCTGACACGGGGTGGTAACTGCGCTTGTTGGTCGAGTAATTGTGAGGTAGCTCCATAAAGCGATGGTCGGGGTGAGGCCCTTGAGCAGACGGCTGCTCACACTTCTGGTCTGGCGGCCCTTGTGCCCTGGCCCCATCGCTGCCCTCAGGAGGGAAACTTTGATGGGAAGGCACTCCAGCTTCGTAAAAGTACCTGTTCATCTGCATCACAGGCGACATTTGCTGCTGCTGCTGTGGCTGCGGATGCTTGTAGCTGGCTGCGGAATCATGGGGGAGGGGGTTAGAGGTCGGGGTCACGTGGTGTGAGTAAGCGCCCTCCAGTCCACGAGGACTCCCCGGCAGCTGTGAGGTGCGAGAGTACATTTGCTGTCCATAGGAGGGGGGAGAACTCTCCCCAGACATTACAGCACTGTGGGACTGACGATGATCCCCAGCCCCGGGAGGTGATGGGACCTTCAGGCTAGGCCGTCCCTCTTGGTACGTATACATGCCCTGGTCAAACCGCGACTTGTGCGGACTAGAATGATACGACGATGACGGGGTACCTGGCTTCCTGTAGGAATCTGCCAACGGATAATTTATGTGGGGCTTTGCCTGCGGGCTTCGGTCCCCACCAACTGACGACCCAGCCATACTCGGTGGGCCTCCCTGATACGCTGGATAACCCTGAGGGTAGAATGGGTGGGCGTAGGGCCGATATGTGTTGCCAGACTTTCCTGACACCACGCTGTTTGCGTCACTAGCGCAATCCGTGCTCGATTCGTAGGCCGAGTCAGAGGATAGCATATTCTCACCCGGGTAGCCGGGTATGACATCGGGCATCTCCAGTTTACAGGTGGGCATGGGCACACGGTGGTGGTGCCGGACGCCTTTCTCTGCACCCTCTCGTCGCTTGTGCTTCTTGTACTTCACCTAATAAAAAAAAACCCAAATAAATTAAAAGATACTCATGACTTTTGTGTTAAGAAAAAAACACAAGAAAACATTTATCAAAATCAAGCATTTGGAAAACAGGACAAAGCATAGGATACAGTACAAACACTCAAATAAACTCACATACAGTTGCATAAATTGAAGGAAAACAAACATAAACACTCTCCCTTCTTCCTTCTCCTCTTTCTTCTTCTTCCTCCTCCTTTTTCTTCTTCTTCCTTTTCTTCCCA